AACTATGCTTGCGATCTTGATGAGGTATCCAATGAGGCATGTTTGCAGATGGATGAAGTTAATTCACAAAAGGTACGTGGTTGCGGAGAGAATTATCTCGCTACCTAAATCCTCTAATAGAAGGTATGAAGATCAAAATGGTATTGGCGTGGTCCCTTTTTGTTACTAAAAAGTTGTTTGAGCTCGTTTTGTAATTTGGTCGTATTTTTAGTGAGAACTAGAGAAATGCACCTTGTCCAGAGGCCATAGTATCCATGATAATATTCAGAGTCTGACAGCGGACTTGGTACAGTGGAAATGTGACAAGTTCATGGTCAGACCCTGAAAACTGTCATGGATACTATGGACTCCGGACTGGGTGCGTTCCTCTAAGTCTTCCTGCCAATGTGACCAAGTATCGAAAACAAGGTCAAACAAATCCTCTAATATTGGCGTTTCGTTATTCATGCGATATTGTGTGCAGTATGTATGCAATGCCAAATTCATGAGAGTTGTAATAGCCCTAACTATGCTCGAAGATATTCTAGCCTCTTTCTCTTGTTGAACGGTTCTTAATGCTCTCTTTCATTAAGTCTTAAATAGTTCAAGCTCGATTTCCTACGTTCCTCAATCCTATTTAGGATGTTGGATATTTTATCAATTTCAAGAGACCCCCTTACCTTGTGCTTGGATGCTTAGTTCTCTTGACGCACAAAACTTTGTTTTAGACCAGTCCTGTCTTTATCATATAATGAGAGAAATCAAATTGTTGAAGCCATCCAGCTTTACAAGTGATTTCATCTTTAGATAATCTCTTCTGAATTGGTCGTCAAGTCTCCCCTACACAGGCATTAACACAAGCACAATATCTTGTAACACCTTGATCTTGAAAGAGGGTCTGTAAATTCTCGGAGGATAAAATGTTCTGATGTTTCCCTGCCTCAGTAGTTCACCTTACCTCTTCGCAAGCTGGCAAGACTGCAAAATAATGAGCCAAGTCAATTTGCCTAAAAGGCTGTAAATAAAAATTCCTCCTTGTCCTACACATGAGTAATGAAGTATAATTATCTATTAATTTTAGTGGATTATCGCTTTTAATTGATTTATCCCTCAATATACCGATCTCTTTTTCAGAGCGATTTACATCTATCAGAGGCAGAATGCTTATTGGCATTAAGCTAATAATTTCTACTTTGACCTCATGTGTATGATAAGATATGAATTTAAAATGGAGGTCTACATATGTGAACTTCTTATACACATCTTTACCCAAATAATTACCCTCTTTGTCCAATAAAACATCCAAAAATTGTAGCATATCCTCCTTTTCTACCTCCATATTAGAGTTAGAAATGCACTCTACTCTATTAATTAGTTTAAGAGATTTCACAAGCATAGATATAATCGTCCACACGCCAAACTAATAAATGTTTAAACTAAGAATTCCTCCTAAAACAATTGAACCCCCAATTGAGTTAACTAGTTATTGGTTAAAATTGAGGTTAAATAGGATAACGTAGCTAAAATCTTCGTTTGTTAATATAATTTATAGATACGAAGAGAAAGTGGGTTTCGATGAATCACCTAAGAGATAACATTGTTGGGGCACTTTCAGTTCGTATGAAAGTGCATAAAGAAGAGGTTCGTAGGTCGATCGCACCAGAAAAGGACGGATGACTCCCGTTGTACTGCAGCCGTTTGGCTTTAATGCGACGTCCAGGTTGAAGCAGTCCACGAGACCTCCACCTTCGTTTAGGATGAAAACAGGCTGAGCTTTCTTCCATCATTCGATGGACATGATCAGAGCTGGGTTTCATTCTTGTAAGAGTCTTATGTCGACACTAGTGCAAGAACTCATACATACACGCACTCGAGTAAAAGTAGTAGGACCAGTATGAAAGATAATTAGCCAAACCACTCTATATCTATCCATCTATCTATCTATCATCTATCTATCTATCTATCTATCTATCTCGGTTTTTAATTTTATTTTGACTTAACTAAGTCTATATAAGAGGTAAGATAGAGCCGGATAGTATTCTTGCCCTAGTGTTAATGTGAGACTTTTATAGGAATGAGACCCAGTTCTGATGATGTCCATCGAATGATAGACGAAAGTTCAGCCCGTTTTCACCCAAGACAAGGAAGAAGGCCTCGTGGACTGCGTTAACCCGAACGTCGTATAAAAGCCAAACCGCTGAAGTCCAACGGGATTCCTCCGTCCTCTTCTGTTGAGATCGACCTAAAAATCTCTCCTTCATGCACTTTCATAAAAAATGAAAGCCCACCTAAAAAAATATAATTTATCATTTGAGGCAAGATATCTACCATTTTCTACTAAATCGAAAACTCTAATGAAAAATTTTTTTTCATCTTTTTGCTTATCTTAATCTTTGGAATCGAAAATATGAAGACCAGGATGTTGTGTCCTTTGGTATTGTCGTGGTTTCCTTACATTGTATATAAATTGTTTGACCTTGTGTTCGAAACTTCGTCATATTGGTAGAAAGACCTAGAGAAACGCATCTAATCTGGAGTCCATAGGATGCATGATAATTTCCAGAATCGGAACGTGAACTTGATAGATTCCCAGACGCTTCGCCGGCATTCTCAGTGAGCAATGCGATTCTTAGCATCACGCTACAACTCGTCAAAGCGACAAGTGAAGCCGATCCTTAGACAAATTGTCTGCTTAACATTCGTAGTAGCTCTCCTTCTGCCCTGGGCTATTCGCCAATCCTTTATCCTCGTATCACCCCTTCACTATCCCAATTTATTAATTGCTAATATGAAAAAGTTGCGAAAATAAGGTTAAACAAATTTTAATCTTTGGAAGTTGATCCAAAGTTAACGCTAAGACCTGCATTGCCCCTGGTATTGTAATATTAGACAACCTAGACACTTATTGGGATACTCTTCTCAAGAATTTTAAGCAGAATATAGACTTTAGGAGGTCAAGTATCTCTCTGGAGTATTGCGTTTATTCTACAGATCAAAAATTTTCGTTGCTTTATAAAATCCTTAAGTCTAGTGGCAAGCCTTCTGTCGGGTACTTAATTGTAGTCTTACATGTTTCTCCATCTGAAGATTGCGAAGTTTTCTCTACATATTTTGTCCCATCTATGACTAAAACGGCTCCTCCGTTGTCTCTCCTCAACATCAATTGATCATTTTGTTTGAGCTTCCCTAAGATATTAGTAACTTTTCTATTCCTATATATTATTATTATCATTATTATTATTATAGGTATATATATGGATAATAATGTATACGCTTTCTAAAGATATAACTCCCCTACGAATTTTTGATAATTTACAGTATATAGATAAATATATTTTTTCGTCATTTCCATTTACATGAAATTTTGGCTATGGTCTCATTAGCAAGGAATATTTTTAGAATAGTGGGATAATGAAAAGTGAGTTGTAATTCTCCTTAAGAGGCAATTATTGGGTCTCAACAATTAAAGTCTCACCTACTTCTTAGTAGCAATTTTGTATCAATGACCACTTCAGCATCCCTGAAAAGCTTCTAATGCTGCCAAACCTGCTTACCTTTCGGCCCAAAACCAAGTAGGTAATTTCCTCCTTGTTCACATGCACCTTCTCTGAGAATTCCAATATTTTCCTTTTTCATGAACCATAGTTCATCGTATTTCCACCTCAATTATGTTATCAAATTTACCTTAAAACATTTATTAATCAGATCGACCAACTGCAGAAGACCTATTTATGAAAAGTACCTCTGATGCCCCAAGTAGCCGATGTCCAGGTAAACGTTCTAGTTTGTTGCAGTCTTACTCAGAGATTCCAGAATCGAAAGTTTTTCAGGAAGGACCAACGATTGAAAATAAGATAGCCAATGAACGGGCTGTAACGTCTATTTCACTGCATGGCCGAGCCCAAACAAAAAGTAAACAATTAAACCTCAATTCCCCCGATTACCAGACAGCAGCGGATACCAAAGGGCTTTTTGAGCAGGAGAGAGAGAATGTAAGATTTTTGGTCACCATTTTCATTATAAATACAAATTTTATTTCTCAGCAATCTTGTCATTATCACTTGTTGGTTTATCATTGCTATCATAATAGACACTAAAATCACTCAAAATTGTGTCTAATAGTCATATTTATCTAAAATTAGCTATTGGAACTGTGCTGATTTGTGGGAAATATTGAATTATTCATCATCTTTAATTATGCCATAATCGTCATGTGGGCTGTTAAGAATAAGAATAATATTAATTTTTGCATTATTTTTATCGCCCTTTTTACTACCAGTCATCTCTTTATATTTTTATCGAATTTTGTAAAAATGAGAATTCAAATTAACTGTTTATTTTAACTAATTGTATTGCTTCTGGTTAACCTTAAAGATACTAGCTCAATACAACTCATGGCCTCGGCCCATTCCTCTGACGCCTCAGCAGCAAAAGATTATCTACCATTCTTTTTGTCCAAGGCTGCGAAAACTTTTTGCATCCAGCCTGACCAAGAATTTCCTTTCCATTGAAGCACAGTCACAGGCTTTTGCATGTGACCAAAGCAAAGCTGAACGGGAGATGGAAGAGGAAGCCAATCTGCAAAAGGAGGGTTCTCTACAGACGCTCAAGGAAGAAATAAAGAAGAGGCAAGATGAAGATGGAGAAGAAATGGAAATTGATCAAAAGTCCCTTGGCCATTGTGCTCAGACTGGGGAGCATAAACAAAGGAAAGAACTCGATAATCGGGACTCAAAACAGATTAAACCGCCAATTCAGGTGAAAAAAAATGAGGAATGCCTTTCGTCCGATTGGCAAGAACAGGACAAACTGTTCGGGCCGCGGATTTCTCAAAAGCGCCCTTCTTCTGTCCAGCGGCCTAATCAGGATCCGGTAGTCAATAATCTGCAAACCCAACTCCGGATTACACGAGATCATCAGCTTTGGCGACAACAGTTGCGCAAGAAATTGGCAGATCGGCGTCGACAACATCAAGGGTCGTTGATAGAACGGACGCTAGTCAACAAACCTGCCAACGTTGAGCGTGCACAGCGTTTGGCTGCACCAGATAAACCTCATCGCCAGACTCTGGGGGGAAACACGAAGTCGGGTAGCTCATTACGAAAGCTCTGCAAGCAAAACTCCCTGACAGAGGCTACTAATGCTCCTCATTCTGGCTCCCCTACTTCGCATTCTTCTCGGTCCTCCTCCTCATCATCCTCATCCTGCTCATTCTCGTCTTCGTCAACTTCATCAGGATGTACCGCGATTCTGAAACGAATTCAACTTCCTGCAGCTTCCGTACAACGAGTTGGTCTTCGAGGTCAAGTCCACTCTAAAATGCATAATACTTCAGATAAAGTGAAGACAGTAGCATTATTAGACGGCTCAATCGGCAGCACGGTACAGA